AAAAAGATTCAATATTTAAAATAGATTTATGTTTAATGCAAATATATAAGTTAATAATTATATAAAAAATGGTAATATTTAAACATATTTTCAATGCAATAAGAAATCCAAGGAATTATACATTCATGCCTGAGACATAGCATTAAAAGAAAACACGAGCTTTAGTTTATTTCATATTAAATTTTTGATGCATCATTACTACCGATAAAACGAATTGGACAGTTTTAATGCTAAATATAAGACACGAATGTATCTTGCTTTGTCTAGTAATACTATACATTGTTAGTACTTTGACATAAATCACTTTAAATACTAATACTCAAAATATACATTTGTGCTACTTTAGTCTACATCAAAATCAAATGCTACGGACACAGTAAAAGCGTTCTGTGCCAACCGGAATCTTAGCTTTCCTTATAATTAAATAATGAATATATCTGATCACAAAATTTATAAAGATACATTTCCCAATACCGAAAATTCATTAACTCTTCTAAGATAACAATTCAACCTCAGCTTGTATGTTTTGACGTGCTTGCTCCTCATATTTCTCGCGAAATTCCTTTGAGGCAAAAATATTTGGTATTTGCACAAAATTCTGCAGCACCTATTTTTTAGAAAAAGCACATATAGAAAAGTAAAAAGATTCTAGCTTTCCCCTTGAACCTTTGGTTACCAAGTTATATTACCTTCAAACGTAAAGCAGTGTACATTGGCTCACTCAAGAAAGAATATTCTCCCCGTATCTTCTCCCTGTATTCTGCATAGCTTTCTGGGGATGATCCTAACACAGCCATATCCAAATCTAAAAAGTAATGAGCATCTTCACCACCAAAGGCACCTCCAATTTTATGAGCATCCGTACTATGCGTTGCTGCTACTTTGAGAAGTTCACTAGCTTCCTCTCTTAATTCTTCACCCTACACAGATACAAAATTATTACCCTTGTATCGCAGAAATTATTTTTAAATATGTAACCAGAGCAATAGTTACAATGTCAGCTTCATCTGCAAATGTATTAAAATGCTCTAAATTCTTGTTTTCACCATCTAAAGCTTTGGGATCGTATTCGAAGCTGTAACAGAATCAATATGTGCTTTGTATTAGTTGCTCACATTATTTTGTGAAAGTACTCACTTTTGAAAGAATAAGGCAAGAAGCACAGCTTGAGGATTCTTTAAATTATCTTTGATCTCATAGTAACAATTTAACTTCTCGCGTAGAGAGTCTAGATTATGATAGGTACGCTTTTCTTCTGAATAAACCTCCTGTAATTTTGTGAACCATGTATCACAGACTTCTCTATCTAAAGATCCAGTTGCCTCTTCCCAACTTTCTTCTATTGATGCCATTTCTTTCTAAAATTATCACATTAAAATTTAACAAATACCATTTCACAAATGTTTTTTTTAATTCGATTTTTTTACAACAAATATCTTATGTTTTATTAAGGGAATAATAATATCTACATTTTTAACTAAAAAAAAGTAGTAATCGTTATTAAACAATAAAAAATTGGCGAGGAGAAGATGTTATTCTCGATATAAATGTACTCACGGTATATTAAATGAGCCAAACAATGCGATAGTTCAACTTAGAGGTGAAAAGCAAGAAACTGTGCTTCGTAGAAAATTCTGATTACCGATACATAATGTGTCGTTGCGGGTGTCCACTGACTGAATGAATTCTACTTGATAAAATAAAGTCTGCTTCCACTTATTGATCGGATTGTGTTCGCGTTTTATCAGCGGAAATACAGCGCGACTTCTAATTGCCTACGTGCTATTTCTTACGCGAAAGGATACTTTCAAATGGTCCCAAAAAATTCCTTATAACATTACGGGAACGTTGAAATTTTATTAAAGAAAGAAATTCAATTGTTTCTACGTAGAAAATTGCTTACAAGGAATCGTGTTAAATTCGCGCCGAGTTGGTAACCCTTGTAAGATGATTGGGCTTCCCCGCGAATAGGGGTTGATGCTTACGGCAATATATTACATAATGCAATCATGCTCCCCTCTGTCATTCTATAAACAAAGAACATATATTTATGTAGAACTAAAAATATTGTTCTATCATGAAACATTTTTTTAATCTCTAGTTTCGTATACCTTAGATTTTACCGCCTGCGCGGTCGACCATTCTGTTTATTATGTCTATAAGATATAAAAATGTTTGATGCTGTCCAAAGTATTTTAAAGATCTTTTTGTGATTTAAAACAGAATAGCATCGCAACAATACAAATTATAACATCTTAGTAACTATGTATATAAAAGAAATGCACATCAAAAGTATTATTATTCACAAGTAGTCAATTCTTCGGTGTATTCGTATTTTAACCTAACAGAGAGATCAAATGATAGTTATTATTACAGTTATTAAATCTGTGATGTTTTAAAATAAATTGAATTAATAGTTTAAACAAAAATGAAAGGTGCGGTAATGTTTTTTGTTGTCAATGAAGATATGGTTGATATTTTTTATTTCTTATAATTTTTTAATAATATAAAAGATAAATATGTATTTTCGTTTTATTGATTTCAGATAAGGAAACAGATAAAAGCATAGTTATATTATTTTATATTCTTATTATTGGACCTCTGTCTACTGTATTATTTTTGTATGGATTTTTTCCTTTAACAAACTATAGTAACACTGTAGCAACTGATAACGACATTCCAAAATTTGTAGAAAATGTGAGGTAAGCTATGGGATCACTATAGAGAGGTGCACATAATAGAATAAAGAAACTTTTAGTGAATGATCATTTTAACCATGCTAAATAAATCTTATAGAGTAAAAGTAGATACGCTATATCAACCTATGGTAAAAAGAATGGTCATAATGGTCATTGATGCTTTGAGATGGGATTTCATAACAGGATCAGTTGGAAAAGTGGCTATGCCTATAACAAGCAGCCTTATAGCAAATTCTTCAGCATGTTTGTTTCAAACCAAAGTGCATTTACCTACTGTTACAATGCCACGAATAAAGGTGCCACATTTTGGATGAAACCACTTTTTAAAATATTTTTAAGATGCTGCAACTCTTGTTTTATGTTACATAGGCAATCACAACTGGCGTAGTTCCCAGTTTTATTGATGTGGCTTTAAATTTTGGAAGTAAACCAATTTCTGGTGATAATATACTGCTTCAAGCAAAAACTCATGGCTATGAATCAGTATTTTATGGGGATGAGACCTGGCTATCACTGTTCCCCTCAATGTTTAAACGCTATGAGGGTACTACCTCATTTGTTGTAACAGATTTTACAGAGGTACTGTGATCCAACATTTTCATCCTATCAGTATATACAATGTAATTCAACGGAGATTAAAAATTTAGGTTGATTACAATGTAACTAGACATTTACGCAAAGAACTGAACAGTAAGACTGACTGGTCAATAATGATTCTTCATTATCTGGGTCTTGATCATATTGGCCATGTTCATGGGCCATTTAGTCCACTCATTACAACAAAGCTTAAAGAAATGGATACAATAATTGCGAAAATTCAATCAAAGGTCCGACAATGGGTATGTGTAGCAATTTTTATCGAATATTGTTTTAAATGCAAATTAGAACAAGTATGATTAAAAAGAGGAAATAAGCTGTAATCCATTTTCCATATTTATAAAAGTAGTATGAATTTGTTATCTTCAGAATCAAAATAATGATTCTTCTCTGTTTATTATCTGTGGGGATCATGGAATGAAAGATTCTGGAGGTCATGGTGGCTCAACAATATCAGAAACAATTGTACCATTCATTGCAATCGGTGGCAAATGCATGCAACACCGTAATCATTTTACTGAGATAACACAAGTAGATATAGCATCCACATTGTCCACTGTTTTGGGTGTTCCAATACCACATTCCAATTTGGGAAGTGTGTTCCTGGATTCTTTGTATGATTTACCTGTAGCAAAGAAACTATATGTACTCTATTACAATGCAAAACAAGTGTTCAGTCACTTTCAACAATTGACAGATTACAAGTCTGAACGTGAGTCAATGAGTTACAATTATATTAATCTTCCATATTGCTTGAATAATAAAGGATACTTTATATCCTTACAGATGCATATCAAAAATATAAAGAAGCACTGAAACTTCATACTGCATGGCTCAATACTAAAGATCATCCAAATGACATGACAGATGATATTGTAACTTCTTACAAGTATGCGCTTAAAGGCATGAAAGAACTTCTCATAAATAGTATGATAAAATACAATTTTCCTGTGATAATAGTATCCACGTTTTTCTTGAGTCATGTAAGGATTAAAATTTAGAACCATTTTATAAAGATAAAAATTAAACTATGTACATATATGAATAATTGATAATTCTTTCAGATAATTTGCATTTTATCCAAAAGGAATATTTATACATTAGGTGCTCCTAAAAGTACCAGTTTACTAGTTCTGTTAAATATAAGTCTTTCGGTGTTAGTAAATTATTTTTGGAACTTCGATGGCACATCGCTACATCACACGAAAAATTTAACCAGCATCATCATAGTATTATTTATAATAATTATTTTAGTTATCAATTGTTGCTTAGTCGCTGGTGGTAATTATGCCAACTTCTTCATGGTCAGGGTAAGAAGTTTAGAGCACAAAACACATTTACACGTTATTAAGCAATTTTCTAAATATTTAATTAAAAATCAGAATACCGGGAATGTACTGGGAAAGTATTTGCTTCCTCTTGGTGGCCTTGTGCACGCCATAAGCCTCAGTGGCAGTAGTTTTGTGGAGGAAGAACATCAAACTTGGTATTTCCATTGGGTATCACTCCTTGCATTGTTACTTTACGATTTTGCTGGAAAGTTTTATACACATCTACGATTGTAAGATAATGTTACCAGTATGCTGACTCTTTGTCTTATGATTTTGTGCTTCCAATCTTAAGTACTTTAATAAGTTTATTTTTCTCGACAACATACTATCATTCTACTTGTCTGTTCATTGTATTTTGTTATAGTTGTCTGATCATTGTAAACGTTTCTACTTGCCCCGTAGCATTCAATGCAATTTGTACTTGTCTGACCATTGTGTCACATTCTGCTTATGTAACCGCATGCATCCTATTCCATTTGTCTGATCATTGCATACTATTCCACTTATTTGATATACGGCCACTTATTATTATAAGACAAGGAGTGAATTCTGATATTATAAGGCAAGGAGTAACTTCTAATTTGTAGTTACAGGAATCATAAACAGTATTTACATGCACAAACCTGCATAAAACTTATATTGTTACTGATAGGACACAGAATCCTTAGGAAATTAAATAGCACCGGAGATAAGTATGCTCATCTCCCAGACATAGCAGGATTCTTACTAGAACAAGAGAGTAAACTGGGCATGACAATTATACTTGTCACTGGTAATTAAATGATATACCTGTGCATATCTGTTGGCGAACAGATTTTTAAATATTAAACATTTTTCTCAGCACTGATACTTTTAATATGGCTCGATTTCACACACGAAGACGAAACGTACAAGCTACAATCACTGATAATTAACTCGATTATGTGCGTATGCATTTATTTACGCCACATGAGCAGTAATAGTGTCGTCGAGTTGCCATTGTATCCTCAGTCTAGGTAAATTTCATTTTTCCATCAAGAGCCTGCGCCATTCATTCACCAAGCTATTATAACAACAGTTCCTTTGTTGCAGAGGAATATACGAGGTACAAATTTTCTGGATACTGTTATCAATCAACTTTTTCAATTACGTTTATCGTGCGATATTAACAATCCAATCCGAGCAGACGATATTTTTAAGAACCACATTATTTTCCATTGTGCGATTGTGGGTCATGGTCGCAGCAGTTATACATCAACCGTACAACGTGATTCTTTTGCCATTGCAAATCGTTTTCAGTGGTATAATTCGCGCGATTATACAAGACAGTAACAAGCAACAGATAAACGCGTTCGTGTACCCGTGGATCGGCAATGTGTTTTACTTTTATCAGGTAAAATCAAAGAAACGATACGCTTGATGGAAGCGACATCAATTCAATTAACAAAGTACGATCTTCTTCAGGGAAATTCGAACAGTTTGGCAACCGTTGACGTAGCCGCTGGCTACGTTGGCATGCGATCCTACATACCGATCGTTAATGGATCATTGATAATCATTAATACTTATTCAGCGCCTGTTTTGGCGTTCCTCTTGCTCATTTATCAAACAGTATCGCAATACTTATATGAGTAAGTAGATTTCACAATTTCAAAAGGATCCTCTGGTAAAAAAAAACATAAAAAAGTAGATAAGATAATATAATACTTTTCAATTGCTTGCTATCAGAACACATTTTAATGGTGCTTATTTTAATTATTTCGCACAAAAATAATTGATTGGAAATCGGTGTTTCAACCAAAGGATCCGCTTAATTGTTACAATTTGGGATAACAGTGCAATTCTGCAATGTCGCTTCTCTTTTCTAGCCCACGTGAGATTATTATGCAAATAAGTAAAACGTATATTACATGGAGATTAATACCATTGATTGCGTATACAATCATAATTAGTATACAACGACATCATTTGTTCGTATGGTCCGTGTTTTCGCCGAAATTATTGTACGAAGCATTGCACTTCACTGTCATTTGCGTTGTAGTGCTCGTGATATTAATTTTAATTACGCTGCAGAAACCGATGAAAATTTTTGCTAGGTGATGCAACGGTTTTTAAGTGTTTTATACCGAAGTCGTTTCATAGTTGTATGTGGAGTACAAAGAAAAAGCACCGAAACCGAGAGGAGCAATAAAGTATTAATATCAAGGACAATTTTATTTTTGAACTTTCAAATTTCTTTACAATCAGTTACGCTTAACTTAATTACCCAATCACGTCTATGAAAGTCGAACGTAAAAATAATCGGTGATAGACGTAAAATGATAATTTCGCAGAAGTCATTTTTTTCTTTTTACAACCGATATCATTCGTTTTCCGAATTAAGCTCGGATTGTAGGTGGTCTGCATCGAGTTTAAATACGGTTGTATAAATGAACAACGTACATACGATGAACCGAGGTGATACGAAAACGTCACTTTATAATTGTACAACCTCTGAATGCAGTTCGAATAAAATCGGAGATAAAATTCTATCACAAATCTTTACGATTAATAAAAAACGCCGAAACGTTACGTTATATCTCTTCTCTGTAATAGACTAATTTAAAATCTAATTTATCGTTAATTTACATTATAGTTACAGTGACTCGCGAAGCCACTCGGTGAAAATACAAATGTAAAATAGCGACTCTACTAGTCACGCAACGTAACGTCGGAAAGTATCCCTAAAAAAAAACCTTGTTAAAGCAGGACGCTAGATAATTTTCTAAAATTCAATTATTATTCTCTATAGGAACACGACAAAACGTTAAAAGTAGCAATATACCCGTTCGCATCCGGTATAAACAATGATCGGCTTATTTGAATTAATGCCAACAGTATGAAACCATTTCATGTTCTTTCGCAAGTGTTGCTACTTTCTCTGTAATAAATATTAAATAAAAATGATCGAAATACAAATATGTAGCTCGTCCCCCATAAATATATATACGCGCTCTAAAATATAAAATTCGTTCCTCCGTATAAATAACTTGAATCGCACCTAAGAGAATCTCTCGTAGAACAATTTTGACGAAAAAATCGAATAGCACCAACTTAATTAATCTAAAATCAACCTAAAATCATAGTTAAGTACGCGACAGCTTGTAAGCTCGAAACAGTACGTGCTAACGCTTCTCAGCACGACCCTTAAAATAGAAAATATTGTTATTCGTATTATACAAAAATAGAAATACTTTGATATTCATTTGTCGAATCACGAAAAAACAATTCTACCGTTCTTCTTCTTCTTTTTTTTTTTAAACGTTATCCCGTGTCGATTGTTAAATACAGTTGGCTTGCAAGGCTGTAAAACTTCCCGCAGTTCATTCAACTCCTCGAATCGAGGATCCTTCGAAACACCCACGAAGTGCCGAACCGTTTCTCCTAATTAGTCGAGTAATTATAGACACCTCATTCTCGCTATCTAAAGGAAATTCACATTCTTCAGCGAAATGGTTAGCTCTCACGCGTTCGTGACAAACGTAAAATAAATTAATCACTGCTCGGTTCCCAGTGTAATACGGTGTGTCACTGCGGCGGTAATAAGTTCGATTAAAACTCTGTCCGATTGTTTCAACCGCCCGAGGCTTCTCACTTCGTTTAACAGTTAGTTAAAATTTCCTAAAACGGCGAATTCATACCGAGCTTCGTACCGAATTCCAGCCGAGCTCTCTTCTGATACCTCACGTTCACTCTGAAAAAATAATTGGCGTAATTGAACAATTTTTCGATGAAAAAATAATTCTCGGAAAAAAAGATCATAAAAGGGGTAATGTACTCACTTAATCTCTTGCCACTTAATCAACTCGTTAACGGCAAAAATAAGGGGCAGAGAACTCAAGAAGAACAGAGGAAGATGAAGCGGAAAATCCGTGATTTTCTCACCCTCCTCTTTCCAGAACGAGCAGAAAACAGCCCCCGAGAATGCTGCTTGTGCGCACAGACTAAAAAAAGAAAATCGTGTCAAAAACATTATAACATTGAATCAACAACGGCATTCACGAGAGAACGATAACGATACTCACGTTATAAATGCACTTAAGAACCACACGAAATTGTTGAAAGGTAGTTTCCTCCAAATAGAGTACTCTCTATGTACAAAGCCTACGGATATCGTTACTGCAACCGAACGAGCCAACGATTCGATAATCGGTCTAACAATAATTTCTAGACTAATCCTTGGATATGAGACTCACCTAAATGTAAAACTAACAACGACAAAGCAAAATGCTGTACCACTAAGACGACATTTGGTTTGGCACCCCAGCCACCCCATGGCACCTCACCCCTGGACTCGGGGTACACGTAAAGACACTTGGCGTCCATGTTCGCGTAAATGGGGCACAGTGTCATAAACGAGATACACTGCGATAAAACTATAGTTATAATCGTGGGTAGAAACTTGCTACCGTAGCACCACAGAACGAACAATGCGATCTGTAAAACGAAAGAAACAATATCATCTAGCAAGGCTCGGATAGCAGATGGTGTTGGATACTCACTTGTCCGTTTATGGTGCACTGATTCTTGCCAGTGGCACGTTGCATTATAGTGGTGTCTTTCGGCGTGGCGATCATTGATATCGATAGCATTGGAATGATTAAGCAACTCAACCATAAGACCTGATCGACGGAGAACAATGGCGGCAGCAGCAGGAAGCTGGACAGAGCTTGCGTGAAGGAGAGTGTGACCGTGCAACAGACCCAGAATTGCACGCAATTCCAGAGGCACTTCATGTAATGACGAGCCTGCAAAACAGTCGATTCTGTGTGAAGCATCGTTCGCCATTTAAATTGAAACCGTGGAGAATAATATTCGAGATTCGAACGAACATAAATTCTCTCATTTATAATAATGTTTTACCGGTGTTCAGGGTAAATTTCAAAAATGAAACGGGTACAGAGTGTGATCAGTGAGATTTACCTCCATAATCAAATGGAATATGGCGATCGGATCCTCGCGCTTCACGCTCAACGAGCACGCAACAGAGTTCAACGCTCTGCTTATGTCGACCGGAGATGGGCCTTGGTCTTCTCTCGTTAGAGTTAGTACAGGAATTCTCTGGCAAACTTGTGGGTACAACGGTTCCACGGCGACCCTAAAATTGCATCGTTCGTTAAAATGATGCTGAACGCAGCGCGGAATAATAATAATCGAGCAACGCCGATAACTTCTCGCTGTCGGGCAGACATTTTTTTATATCCCACTTTTTCTGCAAAATTATTTCGAACTTAGAGCGAGATGGTGCACGTCGCCGAAGTTCCCTGTCGCAGGCCAGGGAACTTGGATAAACGTTCAATGTTCGGGGACGAGACTCTGAAGTATCTACAACCAGCTACGAGACGACCGATGGCATACAACAGACCTTACGGAAAGCCAACCATACAACTCGAGTCGGACACAACGTATAAGAGATCCTATATGAAATTTGATCGCGTTCCCCAACGGAGATTTAATTACGGTGATCACGAGAAGATAAAGAATAAAATCGCCGAGAGAATGGCCACCGACACTGTCTACAAACTGTCTTATCAGATTCTGCAAGGGAAAATACCGCAGCCTTTTCTCCCAAGACCACGTTTGTTCATCGAAGGATCACGAGACTTTGAAACCACTCACAGGCTGTCCTACATGGACCCTGGACTCGTGAAAGTGAAATGTTACAAACCGTATCGAGCGAAGCATGTTCCTTCTGTTCTAATGGAGAGCGAGTCAGTGACAAAGGGATCTTATCAAAACTTCGCTGTGCCTGTTATTAAAAGGCCAAGGAAATCAACGTTCTGGCAGACGAAAGCAAAGACGGACTACCAGACCACGAGTCAGTTGTCCTATCAGTACATAGGACCTGTTCCTAGAAGCATCAGGATTAAACCTAAACGAGCAGTGATCAATGCTCGAATAGAGGACGATACTATTTTTAAAACTAGCTACATGATGCCAGGTCGTCTCGTCGCCAAGGAAAACGTAGCTTCAGAATAATATTTTATCTTTTGTATTGTATATTCCAGTCTCTAATAAATGTGTACCGATAATGATATTGAAATGTTAGTTACCCTGCGTCCGCTTGCATGAATATTGGCATGTTCTCTGCGTTAGCGGAGGAGCCAAGCACGCAAACAACTTCTCCATAATCCTGCATGATGTGCAGCATTTCCCTAGTGACCGTTGTGTTGCAGTCGGTGAACAATGACACCAGTAAGGGAACGTTGTCTATTAGTTCCAGGTGTGGTCGAATTTTGTCGATGCCTCTTGGTAGCTTCGCCTACGATAGAAGTAAGACACGTTTGAAATTGTTGGAGAGAGATTATTTTATGGGAAACTTACTCTGTTGGATAAGTCGAAATTAACAGGAGCACTTTGTTCCGTGCTATCCGTAAGACAGCTTAGTGACCGCCACGCTTCCTGGCCAGATCCTAAATCTACACTTTGCACCAGCACACTGTCCTCGCTTCTCACCGTATCCTGTTCCCTATTGAACATTGTTTTGATCTTGAACGCTGTCGTTTACTTCCCGTTTGGAACAAAGGGAACATAATAAGAAAAAGACAGAATCGTTCCTCGGTAAACCGATCATGCTTTACTGTCGTCAAAAGCGATTAAAATTTAAAATGAAATGCACACGAAATGATTCAGGCGAAATTAGAGGGAGTTTAAGTCATGAATTTGCTGGCTTTGAACTTGTCTATGAAATACAGAGCTTGGAATGTTGCAGTGTTTTTCTGCTCTCATGTAGCTGCAGAAACTACATGCCTAATATTTTATTTATCGGATAAAAGTTGAAAATTGCAGAAGATTATGAAATTCAAAGCTGTCTATTTTATAAACTTTTTCTCTAACGTCAACGACAGGAGATGATCGATTTTGGAATGACCCGAGAAAGAAGAAAAAGAAGGAGTTGACTCTATAAAAAAGAAACGGGAGAACAGAAAATAATTACAAAAAGTGTGGCGATCCAGTTCTCGTGATCCTTTGTACTAGGTGATTTAGACTGGCATGCAAAATCAAACAAACATTATAACATTCAGTATAGAAGTAATGAACGTTGAACGTAGGGCACAAAACGAACCTATGGCTCATGGCACTCTTCACTTGAGACAATCCGGTGTCGTTCCACTCGGTGGTCTCGTCGTCGAACTTGACGGTCGAGAAGTCCGTATTTATGGCACTCGGTGCGGACATGCTCATGGCACGGCTGGTGTCCAGATTGGTGCTACAATGTAAAGTAGATCGTACAATAAAGAAACGGCTCCGCCATGGTCCATTCATGCAGGATAACTTTTCGAACACAAACACATCAATGCAGCATATGTATGCAGCAGAAATGTATGAATCGCATGCTCTTTTTACTTTCGAGTCGGCGAACGTTCTTAAATCGGTAATAGTAATCGTATCGAGAAGCAAAAGCACGGTTCTCAATCGACAGTAGTATGTATAGTTAAGATGTTTCGAGATAAGTAAGATAATGGACATGTTCTCTCTTAGTGTTTATGTGTCATAAAGAGAGGGTAATATGTAACATACCGAGGAGAGACACGATTAAGCAAGTGGCTGGCCTCATCCATGCAGGAGTAATTATGCTGATGAGATTGGGCCGAGGGAGTGGGTGAGGACATGGCTGCTGCCTGGCTCACCCACCAACCCACTGGACTCTCGGACCTAATATCGGTGTGTTAGTTACATACGTTTTATATTCGTGTAATTCATGTATGTTCGATGATTATAACAATGAGATATTAACACATGTGCAATGGTACAACTTGGAAACATGTACGAGAACAAATGTTGCTCGAGACCGTATCCGCTAATGAAGAAGCAATAAAACTCTAATCGGAAAGAAACAGTGGTTACCAGTCACTATTGGCGTGAAATCAGTCGGAACTAAAACGCTCTAATTAGAAACATAACAGAAGAAGTAGTCGAGAGGACTCGTAAGAGAAGGAATACTTTGAACTCACTAAAATACAATAGTAACCACCATATAATCCACTAAAAAGTATAATAGAAAGATTAGAGGGAGGATCAAAAATCGAATCATCGCATTCAAAGAACTGTAAACTCTATGGATAAAAAACCAAGATAATATTCACAATAAAAAAGATATTAATATACAGAGCGTAACGAATAAACATGCAAATTAGTAACAGTAATGAAAGAAAGAGGTATAGACAAACATATACGATGGGGTCATGTGTGGATATCTCTCCAGCCATTGCTGTCTCCTGTAATGTACATGCATATCTTACATTCACATTCATAGTTAAGACAAGTAGCTAGTTAAATAAGTTCATATCAGACAGCACCATTTATTTTAGACTTACAACAGATTAGATAAACGACATTGAGAAACTGACAAATACTTTGATTGACGAGTAAAACAAGGTAAAAGAAAAGAACCAGAACAACGGAATAATCGTAAAACACCAGCAACATATACAATTAGTGTAAAATACTCAGTGTTGAATATGTTTTCATGTATACAACAGACTTTTACACATATAGAATATAACGTATTTATACTCTCCAAATGTGAGGACATGCCCCAAACTTTTTAATATTAATTCAAAAGCAAAAGAAAGCAAAGCAAAATGTCTTGTAGAGTTATCGTTTTGGTAATAGTAGAATGATGTATAGTACCTAGCTCTTTCACTGAGCAACGAAATATGACAATTCCATCCGCTTTCCAGACCCATCTTCTCCGAGAACACCCGAGACCGCAGTTCGTTCTCTTTGCTGAAGTGTACGAATCGTATGCATGCTCTGTCCAATTGTTCGATCAATTGAACCTGTGAAACAAACCGCACATCATTTAAATTCGCCAAAGTGAGTGATTTTTATGGGTTTCCTTAAAGAAACTAAAAGGCTTACCATATCCGTTTGTGCTTGATACTGCATTGTGACCATTCCAATGAAGACTTGGTTGCATTGAATTTCAAAACAACTTTCTACATCACTTATGTTGTCGTCCTTATTTTCATTGCACAACAAGGAGTCTATAAGTATTTATATAAAAACGCTTTAACGTTTGCTAAATTTATAATCTTTAAAATAATATAAATATGTTTAGAACTAACCAGTTGAATGAAATTGTCCAAGTATGCCTTTCACTCGGGGATCAAGAACATTTCTAAAGTCCCAGGGCAATGGAGTGGGGCTTCTATGGGGTGTGTACAAATGTTTGCTATCTGCAGGAAGTTCTAAGTATATTTTAGACATTTTACTGCTAATACCACGCGTTAATGGTCTGTATGCAAATGCAGTGCAGTATGATGTTAAGCTTGTCCTTTGATAAAAGTCTTGCACCTTTTTTCTGGAATGTATGTGGAAAAATTTGTTGTGATTGAACCATTGCAATTTATTCTAAGGGATTATTGTTTCTCTGTACCTATCGGACGCGGAAAGTGGACAGAGATCGTGACCATCCCAAAACTCAATACACGAATCCAAAATTATGTCTGCTGTACCCTGTGTAAGTAATTGTAAACCGCCTCCAGTGCGTTCCTTAACTACTACGGCGACCATATGCGGAAAAGGGAACTTCAACTTCGTTGCAATGCTTAAGGACCTTGCGAACTTTATGTCACGGCGAACCATTTCCGGTTGCTAAAACGTAGTTATGTACCATTTGAATCGTTCCTCCCACGAATAGTTGTGTAAACTTAGAACTGAAATATTACACAATATGCTTACAACATGCCTAAACGTGGACAATTGTTGCTCCAATTGGAATATATGTTGTGCCTGGTCTTGGAAACCTATCTGCTTCGCTAACTCACACAGGCACCTACATTTATCACACATGAAATTTTAGTAAGTGATCATTTACTCTAATGGAAGAAAGAACAGTACAGAAGTATGAGAATGTCCCATGATTAGCATTCATATGATTTATGTACAAAATGATTGGAGTGTTCCATACACCAATACAGATTAACTATAAATACGGAGGATACATAAAGTAACTATGGTTGGACTGACCACATCTGTCCAAGGCTCCCTGATTCGTCCACTAAATACACTTGTCTTGAACTTTGTATTGTATCTTTTGCCTGATACCCACTTTTATCTTCTACACTGTGATCCTGGTAGCTGACAAATGTGTATGATCAACGTTACTGGTAACTGGAAGTGTTACCTTTGGACTGTCTTAGGAATTATGAGTATGATAAACTGGACGTAATTAGCTTGATAATTGGAAGAATTAGTTTGAATTATGCACACAAACAAAGGGAGAAAATGCAGTGCAATAAAGCGTATTAATGAAACACAATCAACCGAACGGACAATACACATACCGTCTGTTCGTAACCGGAACAAGATTCTCATTGTACAGAGCTTCGCAAGTGACATGACAACAGAACTGCATATAATGCTCTTGCGTTTGCATGTTACATGTGTTGAGTAGAATCGCTAAACCTAGCGGTTTCAACGAGTTCAAATGCTGCCTCCAAGCATGATCATCAAACTGTAGACGAAATGGTAGAGCATGGTCATGGGTAAGATCCAAAACTTCAGCTGTTGAATGAGACATGTCTGGAAACAATTTCTCAGTCAATATAAAATCGAGCAGTCATATATATCTCTATATTTTTTACATTACCATGTTGAACATAAGATGTTTTATTAGAATACTGTTTAGAATCATCTGTATGAGTTTGGCAGTGATGTTCAGAAGTCTTATCTAGACTACCAGTGCTGTGAAATATAAGTAATTTATTAGTACCTATATCATACTATTGATACTTTAACATCTGAAAAATGATGACATACCTTGAAGTTGGAGACAAAGTATTGGCATTGCGTAGGAAGAATACCTTCTCTGCTGTTGGATTAGGCCATGAAAGAATTCCTTTTTTATCCACGCAACATAATGCCTGAAAATTTTGTATTACATTTCTTTTTATTGTATTGTCGGATATGCTAGGCAGAAAATGTATTCACTTGTATGATGTTTAAAGTACCGTGACTGATCCTAAAACGTGTAAGATACTCGCAGATCTGGACATCATGTGCTCCTTACCAAGAAGAATATTGAAAAAATATTCTTTCAGTTCCATCCAGTTGTACACCACCTCTGGATAACTTGGGCCAGAAATATCAGTATCCTCAAACGGATCGACAAACTAAAATCATGATCATAATATATACAATGCAACATTATGCGACCGTCCAAATTTTGTTGGCTTGAAAGCATATTAACCTGGAGTTTTTTCGAAGACTGATAAAGTTTAAATAAAGCTTTAAACCGCGCCATTCCAAAACAGTTTAGAAAAATCCAACAAATCGGAAATACTAATGGAAGTAGGGGAATGCTAATGGCAATTGGTTGCAACAGAAACATTTCGTTCCAGTGACCAACGCCAAAGTATTCGTACAAATATAAATACCGGAATAAATTTACAATTAACAAAATAACTAAAAGAACTGGGTAGGCGAGTTGTTCGATACAACATATCATTAAAAGGTGTCGCTTGCGATTATGATATGTGACTGGTCTGTCGAGAGCTTGATCAAAAGCCATTCTGAGATTCATCAAATATGGGGTTTCTTGAAGTTTGTAAATTTTGTTCTTCAATGGAGCCCGTGCCTGTGGTGTTGAAAATATTTCATTTGCACTATGAACTTGAGGACTGTACACTTCTCTTACATGTAGCACTGGTGCATCTGCATCCTGAAATTATTAGAAATTATTGTCTCATTATTTTGTTTCATACCATGAAGTAATCTTATCTATCAATGCATTCAGCTTACATCATAGGGGACACAGTATCCGGGTGCTTGTTGTCCAGGTTTTATTACAATTATGTCTCCAGCAACCAATAATGCCCATGGCAAGTTGACTATGTGACCATCACGGTATGTCCATTGTAAAGTTAAACAGGGAGATAATGGACTGCATAAATGTGGGTAATTTTCAGATTCCCATTGGCAAGAATGTTTTGCAACTAAAATAATCAAAATACAATCATATGAACAAAATTTAAGAGAAATTAATTTAAATTCAATCTGTGCGAATAAAACTTTTTACCTTCTAGTTGGTCAAGAAGTATTCGTACTCTATGAGGAATTTCTTTGTGACGTAATTTGTTATCTGATACAACTAAAATAAAATTTAAAACTACTAAACAACAGACTGTCAGTCCTTCGTAAGGCAGTGTAAAGTACCTGTAACCATACAAAAATGATTTTTACAGACTGTTTAAGTCATAATTCATATGAGTTTTATAGTTATTGATAACAATTCTATTTATTTCTAGCTCTTTTTATATTTTAAGGAATGTAACTAGAAAAATGTTGTAAGCATTATTATGCTTTGAAAATATTACAGTCAGATATATGATAAACTCTGGCAAGTTCCATACCATGTCTCGTTGACTGTGAAGAATTCAATGACAAGGATAATGGCATTGATCAAAAGCGCAATTGCTGAAGTCCAACACAAGGTTGTGTACTGACTACGATGATGTAAAGTGTCCTTTAGCCAAGCTTTATATTTTCTGCACATAATATATACATTATATACAATATTGACTATAATAGATTCCTTTCTTCGATATGAAAGTTAGACATGAGTATAGACATTACTTGTTTCTTCTGCATTCTTCTTCATACTCTTGCAAAACTCTCTTAATATCACGTTGCAGAGTTTCAAGAGCAATAGTGGTTGTCAGTCCTAATGATTCTGTGAATTTATTGTTTGCTTTCTCATTTGTTCTAGAGCTGTGGTCCTTTGCCTGATCCTCAACCATTTTCTATGCCATAAAGTTATTAAATTCTTTTTATGCTTTACTGCATAGTATACATTAAAAATTACATTCAACGTTTTATTATATTTAAGACTATGGCATTCAATTTATTTTCTTCAGCATTTTTCATGAGTACAATTGAAGAAAGACATTTAATACAGAAGAAATGGCTATCAGCAATCATTCAATGATTTTTCAAATAGACAATAGTAATTAATTAACTTTTAATTATTTGTTAGCTAACTAGCAATAATTTATAACTTTGTAGTGTATTTGTAAGGTATAACAGCATAAGTCACATGTTATTACATTGGAGATACTGATATTTAAAACTAGCAGTAATATGTAACTACAATTCTATTGCATTAGAAATATGGGAAACAACATTTTTGTCAACTTTTTCATATAATACATCAGATGATCTAGATCCTGTCTCTTATACACATCTAGATGTGTATAAGAGACAGCGTGTATTGAGTTTTGGGATGGTCACGATCTCTGTCCACTTTCCGAGATGTGTATAAGAGACAGCGTGTATTGAGTTTTGGGATGGTCACGATCTCTGTCCACTTTCCGAGATGTGTATAAGAGACAGCGTGTATTGAGTTTTGGGATGGTCACGATCTCTGTCCACTTTCCGAGATGTGTATAAGAGACAGCGTGTATTGAGTTTTGGGATGGTCACGATCTCTGTCCACTTTCCGAGATGTGTATAAGAGACAGCGTGTATTGAGTTTTGGGATGGTCACGATCTCTGTCCACTTTCCGAGATGTGTATAAGAGACAGCGTGTATTGAGTTTTGGGATGGTCACGATCTCTGTCCACTTTCCGAGATGTGTATAAGAGACAGCGTGTATTGAGTTTTGGGATGGTCACGATCTCTGTCCACTTTCCGAGATGTGTATAAGAGACAGCGTGTATTGAGTTTTGGGATGGTCACGATCTCTGTCCACTTTCCGAGATGTGTATAAGAGACAGCGTGTATTGAGTTTTGGGATGGTCACGATCTCTGTCCACTTTCCGAGATGTGTATAAGAGACAGCGTGTATTGAGTTTTGGGATGGTCACGATCTCTGTCCACTTTCCGAGATGTGTATAAGAGACAGCGTGTATTGAGTTTTGGGATGGTCACGATCTCTGTCCACTTTCCGAGATGTGTATAAGAGACAGCGTGTATTGAGTTTTGGGATGGTCACGATCTCTGTCCACTTTCCGAGATGTGTATAAGAGACAGCGTGTATTGAGTTTTGGGATGGTCACGATCTCTGTCCACTTTCCGAGATGTGTATAAGAGACAGCGTGTATTGAGTTTTGGGATGGTCACGATCTCTGTCCACTTTCCGAGATGTGTATAAGAGACAGCGTGTATTGAGTTTTGGGATGGTCACGATCTCTGTCCACTTTCCGAGATGTGTATAAGAGACAGCGTGTATTGAGTTTTGGGATGGTCACGATCTCTGTCCACTTTCCGAGATGTGTATAAGAGACAGCGTGTATTGAGTTTTGGGATGGTCACGATCTCTGTCCACTTTCCGAGATGTGTATAAGAGACAGCGTGTATTGAGTTTTGGGATGGTCACGATCTCTGTCCACTTTCCGAGATGTGTATAAGAGACAGCGTGTATTGAGTTTTGGGATGGTCACGATCTCTGTCCACTTTCCGAGATGTGTATAAGAGACAGCGTGTATTGAGTTTTGGGATGGTCACGATCTCTGTCCACTTTCCGAGATGTGTATAAGAGACAGCGTGTATTGAGTTTTGGGATGGTCACGATCTCTGTCCACTTTCCGAGATGTGTATAAGAGACAGCGTGTATTGAGTTTTGGGATGGTCACGATCTCTGTCCACTTTCCGAGATGTGTATAAGAGACAGCGTGTATTGAGTTTTGGGATGGTCACGATCTCTGTCCACTTTCCGAGATGTGTATAAGAGACAGCGTGTATTGAGTTTTGGGATGGTCACGATCTCTGTCCACTTTCCGAGATGTGTATAAGAGACAGCGTGTATTGAGTTTTGGGATGGTCACGATCTCTGTCCACTTTCCGAGATGTGTATAAGAGACAGATACTATGCAGTAAAGCATAAAAAGAATTTAATAACTTTATGGCATAGAAACTGTCTCTTATACACATCTGTTTTATATTGCATTCTTATTTTGGAAAAAGAGAATTATTCTGTCTTTAGAGAACACAAGTTGTGTCTTCCTCAGCCAAGGCATAAATAGAAACTTTTAAATATGTGATTTATGTTATTTTGCTTCACAATCACAGATACATTTGAAAGAATGATTGAAACATGCAAAGTAAACAGAAACTATAGATGAAAAGGTTTATCTTGAAAAATTGATTCTTTCAGTATTTAATTTATATGTGGACATGCATTTTCACTCATGTATTTAATCTGCAAGATTGCAGGAAAGCAAACAACAGTATGCATTGCAATTTGTGCACATCATGACTCATATCAGAAGAAAATAAGTAACCAAAAACTAAATCAACAGAAAGAAAGCAATATTTCGTATATTTTATGTGGCACAAAAGTAGGTAGAGGAAACTGAAATAAATAAGGAGAAAACGATGTAAATACAATTTATTAATACAGCCATCTTTAAGGGTGAGAAGCAGGAATGTTCTCCAAAACAAACGGAGCGAGGTTAAAAATGCATTAACACTTGCATAAGTTAATGAGTGGATTTATAGTGTACCGCTTATGTCCGTCACGTTTCAAAAGTGCACTTCGATTTTTTAATATAGGTTCGTGTATTGAATAATTAAAAATAATGGGAGAAGACTCATAATTGCAAATGACCTGAATCAGAACGGAGAATGCATATTCGACTATGCTCACATCTCACATCACGACATCACAACCAGTAATGTCTCGATATACTGGTCAATGTCGGAGGCGAAGCGCTCAGAAATATGAGGGTAGGTGTAGAAACTGCTTTTTTCTGATTGGTTAATATAAGGAAATAGCTGTCCACTCCTGGAGTGAGCCCTTATTGGGACAGTTTGTTGGAATAAAGTAAAATATTCCATGGAAAAGAATTCATCCGGATAATTGTATTAGCGAAATGTTTATTTGAAACAATTCGAATAATTTCGAAATAAAAAAAATTATTCGCTTGCGCGGAGCTGTATGTGCATTAAAGTGGTGGGGGTGAAAGCGTTCAGAATGAAGAAGAGGTAGAAATGGCTTGCTATGAGGAGGCACTACTGTACATTTTATCATATGACGCAGTGCTGACGCTATGATGTGCGCGTAATGGATTATGGTTTTCCCGGTATTAATTTTATTACATGATTAACTATTATTTGAAACTTTTATATAAAATCCTTGTGCATCGCGATGCATGAGTACAATAAACAAAAAATATTGGAGTGCATGCACTCGTGTTCATAGTATTTTGTTTGATTGTACCACATAACCTCGCAACAATGGATTTACTGTATACTGTAAATAGAAAAGTGACATCGAAATCTTTTATAAATCAAGAAAGGTATGTCAAGTTATTATTAATATATTTTCATTATTTGTTAAAATAATATGTAAATGATCTTAAATAATATGTTCATGAATAGAATAGTTATGTATATATATATTTAAATTGATTTAGTATGTATTTAGTATAATTCCATTTAATTATAGAAATACGTTTTGTAAATATGATTTCGTCTTTGTTTTATAACAATATAATTTTTAGCCTATACGAAGGACAATCTTTATGCTCGTTATCTAGTCGAAATATAGCAGCATTTACTACAACCACAGAATTGGATGATAATAGTGGAAAAACATGGGGATCGCACGTTTATGTTAGCGATTTAAATATGCCTTGGCATACTCACAAGTATGATATATTTTTATATTAGCTATTTATTTCTTTTAGAAAAATTCTTATGTAATAATTGAAGCTGATCTATATATTTAGGCTATTATCAAACAAAAACACTATTACTGCATTAGAATGGGACTTACCAGGTGATAAACTGGTTGTTGCTGATGCTACTGGTAATGTACAATTGTGGATGTTTAAAGATCATGTCCTCAATGATTGGGTATTAATTGGTTCCACATGTTTTACTGGGGAGCACATATTAGGCGCAGCTTGGTTTCATAATGGGAAAAAGGTATTAGAAGTTAATATATGAAAGACATTTAATATTAATCTAAATATGGAATTCATAGAAGTTCATAATTTCAGACAGGGCTTGTAACTGAGAAAAAAGATAGCATTCATTATAGTGAGAAATTTAATCATTTACCTTTTGCTCCTTCTGTGAGACAATTTGGTGGTAGAGCAGCAGAAGGGGTATTGGTAGTATCTACCACAGGTATGGTTGGTGCGCTTATGATCACAAAAGATTTTCAAAATCCCATCTGTTCCTCGACAGAAAGTTTAGGTAGTACAAGGCATAGGATAACTGCAGTTGACCTTTGTTATGGAAAAAGTATATACATACAAACATATTTTCAAAATATGGTTATATCTATAAGAATTAGCAGACTAAAATAAAATCTGACGAATTTTCAGATGGCCATATTTTAGTAGCAGTAAGCAGTGGAAACATTTGTTTGCCAATTAGATGTTACAGAGTTTTAGTTCGTAAAAATGATGATAAATGTTCTATCACATCACAAGCACTGCCAAGTTTTTTTCTGCAGGATGGAGCACCCAAAGACAATACATGTAAAGTTCAACTGTTTGCATATAGTGTTCATGATTGTACTCTTTAAGTTAATACAATTCTTTCCTTAGATACAAGTGTGACTCACTTGAAGTTTGTAGTTCGGGAAGATGCAGATTCCTTGGTTATTGCTGTTAACAGTGATAGTGGAGGTATTGTAGAAGTATGGGAATTGCGGGAAAAATCGCAACCAGTGCATAAGTTATTTCAGCCTAAAACATTAGAATCATTTAAAACTGTAGTGGTGAGAATTTCAATCATAAGCATACAGGTTACTCGTCATCAAGTATTTTTCTATGTGCATATTTTCTATGTGTATTATAGGTATGGCAACATCAATCGCAATATCGTTGTCAATCTCCGATAACAGCAATAGCGACTACAAAACTATCAATAGTTACCACGTTGCCACCTCCAAGTTACGTTGTAGTAGCTTTGGCAGATTCATCGGTACATTGTTTGAGCCGTGATTGTCTGAAAGAAATTTCTTTTTCGTCTTTGAATATGGCATGGCGGCCCGATGAACCAAATAATAAGTATTTTAAAAATTCAATTTCTATAGCGAGTATAGATTTATCGTGGCTGGGTTGCGTTCTCTTGGCTTGCGATACACGAGGAAATTTATATTTATACAAACTCCTCCCTGATGGAGGTAAGTTCCTAAGATTCGAATACAACAAATTTCTTTTAGATCATAAAGTTGAGATTGAAATAGTTAATCATGTCACTGAAAGTTAAATCATTGGTCATTGTAATAATGAAGTAAAAGAAAAAAAATATATATATATATAGTTCAATAAAAAGTATATTTACGATCTCAAAATTTCCAAAAGTATGACCTTTAAAGAATGAAAAAAAAATAAGCGATATTTCAAATAAATATCTCTAGAAAAGTTCTAAAGAGCTTATGATCATTTAAGTTTCTATTTACAGGACCATCGATAACATTAACTTATGCCTGTACACTCTTAGAATATTGTCTAGTAACTGGATTAGATTGGTTAGACATACTGTTGTGTTTAAGATCATCAATGATTGAACCATTATGCGAAAGGCTGGATGTTTCTTTCAATAGACAATTGCAGCCCATACAGCAGTATCATTATATTCAATTTCTTTGTATCAAGACATCGTTATACAGGTATTACATCATTCCTAAAACAATTCATTTCATTTAAATATAGTTTTAATGCATCATGATTAAGAAAATCTTACTTTCAGAATGTTAGTATCAGGGCAAAGTAAAGCAGCAGACTTATCATCATTACTTATGATTCATTCAGTAGCAACAGCTTTTAAATCACTACTACGACCGTCTGATTTGATTTCTCATGATAAGGGACCAGCAGAAAGTTTAGCAGCAGTCATTAATGATGCAATTACTGATGTAGATAAGGTACAAGCGAGGATTATTCTTTTCAGCAGTGGAAGCATTAACATATTTTATAATAATTTGGTTATTGATAGGTACTCTTACACCTTGATCCCAAAGAATTTACTGTAGAGCCCAGTACACTTCAATCCTTGCAACAATTAATTCAATGGGTAGCTGATCTGGCTTTGAATCTCTTAGCTCGCTTGCCAGAACAACGGTTGCAAATGAAATCCGGTGGTGTTAGTATTATCAGTAATTATGAAATAATATCATTGGTTTTCAACTGACTTGATATTTTATAATCATTTATTTTATTTGATACCGCAGTATGAGCTTTTGAAGGATCATAAGGCCTTGAATACATTGAGAGAATTACTAGTTCTTATACGTATATGGGGTTTGTTGCGTCCTTCGTGTTTGCCGGTATTTCTTCGTAGCGCCGATAATCTTGACGTGTTGGCACTATTGTTCCGATTATTATCAAAATTGGTCCAACCAAACGGAGACACTCAATCTCAGCAAGTAGACGATGGGCTAATTGGTAAGTATGTTACAATAATTTCAATGAAATATTAACATAAACGTACAAAAACTAAGATGAATCATTTATGATACTCAGAAACAGTTGCTTGGATATTATCACAATATGACGGTTAGTAGGAAGTAAGATAAAATACCACTTCCTTGTTCGTGAAAGGAAAATCCTGATTCTTTCATTCAGTATTATTAGATATAAGCTTGAGCGTCTACATGCAAGTTTCATATTTTTCTTTATGTGAAAACGAAAAGTGTTTTATTCTATAATAATTAAAAAAAGTTGTGTATCCTAGAATATAATCAAAAATGAGTGAAACTCTTGCTGTGAAACACAAGAACTCTTTGAATTTAACAGAGCAGAAATTGCTTCAAGACAAACATGATACAAAGCGTTATAAATGCATACCTTCGCGTAAACTACTAATATTTTTCATTGCTGTGTTATCTATTTTCGTGGTTTATTGGTTTATACTGAGTCCAATTTTAGTCCATGTAATTATTAAGAATAATGCACATGACAAGGACTATAAGTTTATTGTATATTGGGTAGTGGCATTTTTCATCTGGTTCTTTATAATGGTGGGCGTAGCTTTGATTTGGAAATGCGTCTTGATCAAGCAAAATGAGAAATGTAAATTGCAGTCATATGGTACGAGCAATTCAATTATGCTAAGGCCCATAATCTGTAAAAAAGACGATACTACGCATAGCGTAAAGTTTAAAGACACAAAGGGAGAAAAATCTAAAAGTACATCAATTCCTGATAAAGATAAAATGAAAAGGGAGGCTGACGAGACAGATAAGAACAACTCTCTTGAAATGAGACGGAATAAAAGTAAGAAGCACAAAGATCTTCCACCTCTTATGATACATCGCCGTAATTCCGGCAATAACATTGAAAATCCTGGGAACGTAAATCTAACAAGTGATACTGATGAAAATGATGAAGACACATTAAAATCGGGAAAAATTACCCCTAAAATTCAAAGGCAATCGATGCAAGATTATTTGAAATTGGTAACAGTTACTCCAGAAGGCGAAATGGATACTCCAAAATCTCCAAAAGGACCACTGTCGCCGAGAGACTTATTTTTTATTGATCTTATCAAAGCAGCCGAGGAAGCAGATAAAAATAAAGAGGACGGCAGTGCCAAAGAAACAGATGGGAAACATTTCTTTCCAAATAATTTCTCACCGACCGAAAAAGACATTGCTACTGATGCATCAAATGAGAATGAAGTGCCTGATAATCCGTTATCGAACAATGACCACGATCCAACTTATTTTATCGCAAATATAGAAAGCCCAAAATGCGAGAAGACGGAAGTATGCATAGATGTTAATCCAGAACCAGAAACAGTTGCACCACATTTGGTTAATTTATTAATTAGAGACTCTGCGATTACAATAGAAGAATCAATAAACAATAAAAGTGAAAAAGATGAAAAGGATGAAAAAATTGTTGTATTTAAAGTGTAGTTACACACACATTTTTGATAGAATATTTAATATTGTATTATAAAATATTATATAAATTATATTAACTTAGATATATCACAGCAAAATAATTAGATGCTGATAAGGATCGAAATTCCGTGTGTGTAAAATAATAATTTTACATTTAAAGTCAATGCTACGACAATCACATTGTTCCAGATGACTGTTGCCTGTTACCAAATCAGATCATGATACCCCAGTTACATCAGGGTAATAGCATAACAGCTATAGCTACCCCTATTCTTTTTTATCAAAGTTTTCCTTTGCAGGTAAGGAATCCATATGCGTTTTTTTGTTGTCCCGCGAAATTCTATTATTATGATTGTAATAATACAAATTGTTTACAGCTGGAATATGGTGTAGAATCTGAACAGTTATTATTTGTACCTGAGCTTAATTCAGTTGAAGGATGTATGCATAGTGGACAAATTGTCGACGGTATTAGGCATCTGTACCTTGGGAAGCAACCACTTCTTGTGAAACAATGTACAAGGTAAAATGAGTGCTAATGCATTTTAATGAAATTATTTTTTTATCGAAATTAAGTTGTTGCAAAACAAACTTTTAGATGTGGTGGGAAAGCCCAAGTACAAAATATGACAAGAACAGCTGCAATTAGAGCATGGGATCAAAGATGGGCAAGAGCTTGTCGTTGCGGTGGCATTTGGCGAATTCATAAAACTTGTCCATATATGATGAATTAGGAGTAGTTCATTAATGAATTTTATATACAATGATTTATACCCGCGATTTTATACATTACGTAGCTAATAAAATTGAACATTTTTATTTAATATAAGAAATGAATTCTTATTCCGTCAGAGAATCCTCAGAGAATGTCAAGAATAACTGAACAACTTTGCATAAGATGTACATATAAATTTTATTGAATTTGTTTAGTTCTCTATTACGGATACAATAAATTTTTATTATTTCTTAACATTGCATTTATTAAAATTTTTTGAATGAGCAAATGCATATGTTGATATTAAAGTTTCTAATCAATGAACAATTCTGACAAACAAAATAAATACTAAAATGATTTTATTGGCTATTATTACTTGTATTGTTGTAACTAATTAATTAGGATCGCTTGTAATAAAGAATAACATGTAAATCTGATCAATTAATTATTCTATTTGGATATTCTTAGTTTTTGAACAAAACTTCCATAAAATTAGAAATGATGTACATGTATGGTATCTATCATATGTTCTTTATTATTGCAGATCCTAAATGCACAATATAATGTTCATATAGTCTTTGAACGAAACATAACGAACACATTTTTATTTCGGTATTATTTTTGCAAAATATAATGGCTGTGGAAAGTATATTTAAAATAGCATTTGCTTTTAGAATTCATCGTGTTGAAAGCACTGGCTGTTAATGACTCTCTCCTTTCTTACCAATCACTCTCTTAAAGTCTCCCATATTTGTAGTAGAAATTGGTGATCCTATAACAGCCAAATGATCGATCCTTGTTGTATCACTACCAGTTTGATTATCTTTTATGAAGATCTGGAGATTCTGCACGTTTTGAAACTTGACAAAACGTAAACCGACTGGAGTGCCTTCCTCGAGAACGTTCGGCGAAAAACTGCACATTATAATAATATGAATAACAAATTATTCAAATAGATTATCATCTTATGAAAAAAAATAGAATACATTAGAAATTCTTACGTCAAGTCTTGGATACTTGTGTTAGACTCTGCCACGTCGAAATCAATTGTTCTAGGCTGGTTAATAAATAATTTAATATTTTTTGGCCCCTTATCTTTAGGAGCCTTAATCTTCAAAGAGTGAATTTTGACTGCTTGCATAAATGCAATAGATAATATCAATTGTTCGTCACAATCGCTCTCAAGATATCCTTCATCCGAGCTCAAACATTGTAGGAAATTATGTTCATCAGACTCGTTTAAACATTCACATTGTGTTTTGGTAATGAATGTAATTAAGTCCATCTGGAAGAAGTATATTATATTTCAGTTTCTATTAAAACAGAACAAATACCAACCACATTTTCCTTTATACATAACAAAATAGTTGGGTAAAAACATGCAGGACAAAATTTACATAAATATAAGTTTTTATTTCAAAAGGAAGCATATAAATACAAATTCTTACATTTCGACATGTACATATTTTAGTTAACTATATAGTGAACTATTCTTTTTGCCAAATACCCCCTCTAAGAAAGACTATAATATTACAAGTACATGTACTTAGTGGAAGAATGTTATTTAACAATTTGATTGTTAGTACTATTTTAACTGAATAATAATTATGTGAATGTTCATTGAAAGAGATTTACTATAACTCTTTTATTGGTACTTATTCCAGTAATATAAAACTCCAGCAACTAATAGCATTCCAAATATATGTAAATAAGCATCATCACTACTTCGTACATGTCCAGACACTGGACTCTCAGTATCTTCCGTGTCTCCAGTGCCATAATACTGTTGAATCTTTGATTCTAATCCAACTGGATCAGCTCCTTGACACAAGCCCAATTTCTTTTGGTTACGATAAAATATGAACGTAGGCATTGCGCTAACACCTTGCACAGCAGCAGTTTCAGTGCATTTGTCTACATCAACCTTAAGAAACACTGCATTCGGATATTTAACTGATAGCTGTTCAAACACTGGTGCAATTCTCTGACAAGGACCGCACCTGCAGATTATAGAAATATCAATGTAGTTTACTTTAAGATCTTGATAGAATTTGTATAGAATACATTCATTTTAATAAAAAAACATTTTCATAAAATATGTTCATATTTGTATATCAGTTGTTGATAAAAACAAATATGATATGGAAATAGGTAAATTATATTTTTCTATAATGCCATTATTGTTTCGTCGAAGTGAGAAATTCTATGAATCCATATAAGAATGACATTATTCTTTGGGTATACCACAGATATCAAAATGCAATATAACCTAAAAGGGCTTACCATGTTGCTGTGAAATCGACTACAACTAATTTTGTACCCGCACTCGCCATTTCACCGTAGAAATGGCCATCATCGTTAATCACACGTACTGCACTCATTGTTTACTATGGTATATTTAATACAATATTAATGAATAAACTACGAATTATTGGAATATTATAATATACGTATTGGAATATTGAATGACTGGCAGTTTGACTTGACCGCACCAACTAACCCGGTGTATTCTGCACATAGGCATGCAGTATGTACATGCATACACACAGTCAAAAACAAAATATGTTCAAGCAGTGGTCGAATAATATACTCAGAGATGCAATACCTAAGAGCAAAATGATTTTACGACATTACCGGATGTAGATGGCAGTAACATGAGATAAGTGCAATGATTGACTCGTATGAAGCTGGTTTTCAAAAATTCCTCTATAATTGCCCATAATTGCTCGCCAATTAGTTTTAATTGTTCACTTATCCTATTCGAGAAATATCCAAAAAACATTTTGGATACGTCTAGTGACTTTTATAAGAGGATGGGGACTTACAAAAATACGAAAATTTTAAAATAATGCATAAAACGTGCTGTATGACCTACCAAAGAATTGCTCATTCTTCCACAGGCGACAATTTTATCAATAAATAATGAATTTTTAATAAACAGATATACAAGCAATTAGGAGCACCCGCTGTTCATGGCTGTCAAATACTAATTGGCATAAATATTCAAAAAATTGCGCTAACTCAATGTACGATAGCTTAAATCAGGGCTAGGAATAAAACTGCACGTAACAACGATGCCACGAGGGCTATGCTCCTTGATTTCCGTCGCAGCGTTCGCTGCACACATCATTGCTTTATTTTCACAAAAATAAAGCAACTATGTCGCGAACTAATGTAGAAGATGTATAAAGAACATAATTAAATAATTTCTGATTAGAAAATATCAATATCAAAAAGAAATCAAAATTTGCAGCTATTAGCTCGGTATCATCCTCGACTCAGAAATTCATTGCAATTCGCAAGATTTTCTGAACCGAGGATGATACCGATTGCCCGAGTCTCACCGCGAGGAGGTTGCTGCTTTAGAGACCCGAAAGGGAGTCAGAACGAAGCCGGAATTCGCTATGGCTCCCTTTCTAACAACGACGACTTATAAACTAATACGCTCGCTAGCTAGCTATCACACATTCCCACACACTCACTCGTTCGCATATGTCAAGTACTATCGCGGACCAAAGTGGATCAAAGAAGAAGTCTCCGATCCACGGGGACCAAAATGAATCAGTGCAGAAGGCAGTGATTCTTTCAAAGTAAGAAACAAGTACGAGTCAGTGCAGAAGGCACTGCTCGAGGGTGACGCGACGCGTACAATGCTCGCACAAGACCGGAGCCTCACAAATCTCGATGTCCGGCGCGATCACATGAGGAGTGACGATCCAAAGTTGGATCCTCCCACACAGTGGGATGCCATTTCTCGCCCTGCGACCTAAAACTAACTTAGGCCGCCTTACCCGTCTGAATCGGCACTAGGAGAGAGCCTACACAGGCAAACCTGTGTGACCATTTCTCTCCCAACACCCCGCCCCTCATAGGAGCTAAGGGCGGATTACTGGCCGAACAGCGACCAGGGAAGAGCATTCACGCCGCATGATCACTCGTCGAACATCGAGAAGTGTTCGTACCTACCCAAGAGATTGCGCAAGCAAGGCCGCCACAGCTTTCTGCTGTGGCGGAGTCAAAGACGAGACGCGAAAAAATAAGGCTAAGGCAATAATACTCGACATATGCGAAATTAGCGAATCGGGTACCTCGGGGACGCTACCCCCCGTGCCCCCCACGGGCGCTCCCGTGGGTCGGGGGCCCCTGAGGGAACTTAACCCCTTGCCGCACCATTTTCTTTAAATTTATAATGACTAGAAATATACCGATTATAATTATTTCTCAGAAGGAGAAGAAAATTTCTAATTATTGTGAGACTACATTTCATTGAACAAGTAAATATTGTAGTGAAAAGAAGAGAAGTTTAGACGAAATTGGAAGAATAAAATAATGTTCATTCTTAAGAAAAATCTTTAGTAAAAGCTAGACCCGTTAAAGTACGGCAAGAAGTTAAGAACCTTAAACTAAGACACACACACACACATATCAACTAACTCGCACGCACTTAATAACTAAGACGAATCCCACGGCGGATGAAAATCCCACGGCGGATGATAATATCTGTAATGAATCTGAAAAGATTGAATTCTAGTTAGTACGAATACAAAATAGGTGACAAGTCAAATTAGGAAACCTATGACCAGCACACGAGTGCCAAGCTAACCAGCACACGAGTGCCACACTAACCAGCACACGAGTGCCAAACTAACCCGCACACGAGTGCAATTTTTGAGAGAATGGATGAAACAAAATTTAACAAACTTAAATTAAGAACCCTAACAACCTACAAGCGCCTCGGGTACCTCGGGGACGCTACCCCCCGTACTCGCCCACGGGCCCCACCCGCAAGCGAGCCCCTGAGGGACCTCCGATCGGAGGAACACCAATTTCAACACTTATCGAACGAAGCATTATTCAGAGCCCCGACTTATAGTATAAATTCACACACTTTTACAATACATACTTGTTACAATACAAAGTTTGCAGCTATTTGCTCGGTATCATCCTCGATCCAGAAATTCATTGCAATTCTCAATATTTCCTGAACCGAGGATGATACCGATTGCCCGGGTCTCACCGCGAGGAGGTTGCTGCTTTAGAGACCCGAAAGGGAGTCAGAACGAAGCCGGAATTCGCTATGGCTCCCTTTCTAACAACGACGACTTATAAACTAACACACACGCTCGCCAGCTAGCTAGCACACACCCACACACTCACTCGTTCGCATATGTTAAGTACTATTGCGGACCAAGTGGATCAAAGAAGAAGTCTCTGATCCACGGGGACCAAAATGAATCAGTGCAGAAGGCAGTGATTCTTTCAAAGTGAGAAACAACTGCGAGTCAGTGCAGAAGGCACTGTGTCGAGGGTGACGCGACGCGTACAATGCTCGCACAAGTTCGGTGCCTCGCAAATCGCGATGACCGGCGTGATCACATGAGGAGTGATGATCCAAAGTTGTATCCTCCCACATTGGGAGTGAGTGGCCATTTCTCGCCCTGCGACCTAAAACTAACTTAGGCCGCCTTACCCGTCTGAATCGGCACTAGGTGGGAGACTACACAGGTAAACCTGTGTGACCATTTCTCACCCAACGCCCCGCCCCCAAAAGAGAGCTAAGGACGGATTACTGGCCGAACAGCGACCAGGAGAGAGCCCTCCCAGAAGGAGGATCCGCGTTCGAATCACTACGCCGCATGATCACTCGTCGAACATCGAGATGTGTCCGGACTTACCCAAGAGTTTGTGCAAGCAAGGCCACCACAGCTTTCTGCTGTGGCGGAGTCAAAAACGAAACGCGAAAAAGTAAAAGTAAGGCAATAATACTGGACATATGCGAAGTTAGCGACTCGGGTATCTCGGGGACGCTACCCCCCGTGCCCCCCACGGGCGCTCCCGTGGGTCGGAGGCCCCTGAGCAATCTTAACCCCTTGCCGTACCATTCTCTTTAAATTTATGATGACTAGAAATTTCCCGGCTGTAATTATTTCTCAGAAGGAGAAGAAAATTTTATTTTATTGTGAGATTACACACTTCCTTGAACGAGCAAAAAAGAATAAAAAGAGAGAATTAAATAATGTTCATTCTTAAGAAAAATCTTTGTTCAAAGCTAAACCCGTTAAAGTACAGCAAGAAGTTAAGAATCTTAAACTAAGCCACACACACACATATCAACTAACTCGCACGCACTTAATAACTAAGACGAATCCCTCGGCGGATGATAATCCCACGGCGGATGATAATCCCACGGCGGATGATAATCCCACGGCGGATGAAAATCCCACGGCGGATGATAATATCTGTAATGAACCTGAAAAGATTGAATTCTAGTTAGTATGAATACAAAATAGGTGACAAGTCGAATTAGGAAACCTAAGACCAGCACACGAGTGCCAAGCTAACCCGCACACGAGTGCAATTTTTGGGAAAATGAAGGAAACTAAGAGGCATCCCACATTATCATCCCAGAGATGATAATCTCTGTAAGGAACCTGAAACAATTGATTTCAAATTAGTCTGAACAATATGAGTGATGAGGTGAAATAGGAAACCTAAGACCAGCACACGAGTGCCAAGCTAACCCGCACACGAGTGCAATTTTTGGGAAACTGGAGGAAACGAAATTATGGAAAGTTTGGACAATTTTGGCGAAAATATGGAACCAACGGCGCATCCCACGGCGGATGATAATATCTGTAATAAACCTGAAACCATTGAATTCATGTTAGTCAGAATATAAGTCGAAATAGAAAACCTAAGACCAGCACACGAGTGCCAAGCTAACCAGCACACGAGTGCCAAGCTAACCAGCACACGAGTGCCACACTAACCAGCACACGAGTGCCAAACTAACCCGCACACGAGTGCAAATTTTGTGAATATGGAGAAAACGAAATTCAGCAAACATAAATTAAGAAACCTAGCAACCTACAAGCGCCTCGGGTACCTCGGGGACGCTACCCCCCGTACTCGCCCACGGGCCCCTCCCGCAAGCGAGCCCCGGAGGGACCTCCGATCGGAGGAATTACAATTTCAACACTTTTCGAACGAAACATTATTCAGAGCTCTGACTTATAATATAAATTCACACACTTTTACAATACATACATCGTTACAATACAAAGTTTGCAGCTATTTGCTCGGTATCATCCTCGATCCAGAAATTCATTGCAATTCTCAATATTTCCTGAACCGAGGATGATACCGATTGCCCGGGTCTCACCGCGAGGAGGTTGCTGCTTTAGAGACCCGAAAGG